AACAAACTATCATTATAACAACGTTAACAAAGGTTTGAAGGCTTTAAGATTATTTTATGATGGCCAAGATTTCCTCTTTAGTCCACATTTTTTTCGTCGCTCTCTTGTTAGGTATGTTAATATGATAATTTCTATACTTTTTTTTTTTTTTTCCTATATTTTAATTTCTTTTTTTTTCTGTTTTATCACAGGCCCGCCCAATAAAGGATGAGTCAACCACTTCAGTCGGCATAGGAGAAATACAAACCTCTCCTGATTCGGAGCGCTTTGTAGTGGTTGTTCAACGTATTGATGATCTTGTAAGCGACGGAGGCGAAATACTTGCGGAAAGAATCTCAGCTGTTATTATTAACTTTGACCTAAAGGACGAAAGCTTATTAATTAATAATGTCTTAGTTCCGTTGAATGCCACCTCCATTCAGGTAAACTATAATATTTTATGAAGTCATGTATACAACTCGTTTATAGTTATTCGTTATTTAACTTTCTTTACGTGTATTTAGGTGCTTCAAGCTGAGCTTGTTCCCGCCAATATAACGCAAGAACAACTTCAAAAATATGAAGACAGTTTTGATATTGGCATGGTAACTGTTGAGGTTAACGCAGTCGCCAATTCATATCCTACTGATGATCCAAGAATCTCTCTCCGTCGTATCATAATTGCTATTCGCATAACAGAAATCGATGGTGTAACTGTTGTTCAAAACGATGTTGTCGAGAAGATTCTTGAAGCAAAGATTACTGATAATGGCAGTACAACTCCTGCATCAGATATGACTTCTAATGTGAACAGTGCAATTTCTGGAACTTCCGCAACGGACAGTCCTTGTGATTTAAGTACCGTATTCGCTCGAATCCGTCATTGGTGGTGTTGTTCATCCAAGATCACTCGTGTAGCTGTCGTCTCTTTATTACTTACATCAGTATGTGGTATCTTGTTTATGATCATTCCTGCGTCCATGCAAGGTCTCGTTAAGAAGAGACTTGGTGCTTTGAGACGACCTTACCAAGCTGTTTCGGATCATCATGATGACGAAGAAGATGTAAAAGTTGAACAAGTTATTTTCATCGCTGACGAGGAAAAACGGATGTTGATGGAGAAACATGAAAAAGAGGAGGATCATGAATAGATCATATGTACTGTTTTTCTTTTAGCTTAATTTTCTAGAATTGCGCTTTTTTCCTTTATTCTGTATATGCAATTTGAATTTGCGAATATATATATATTTGTATTCTACTTAAATTACTTAAATGGTCTATATTTAAATATGCTCTTTGCCTTTTTGACTTTTTGAACAAATAAGACTAA